TGCGGGATGGATGAAATGGCGAGAGGTCTCAGGAACGATATGCGATCCACGAATGCCCCTTAAACTTAAGGGGAAAATCTATAAAACGATCGTAAGACCTGTCGTACTGTATGGTTCTGTATGTTGGGCTACAAAAGGGACGGATGAAAGGCGAGTACATGTGGCAGAGATGCGAATGTTGAGATGGATGTGTGGAGTGACGCGAATGGACAAGATTAAGAATGAGTACGTAAGAGGAAGCCTGAAAATTGCACCTGTGACGGAGAAAATGAGGAGTAATCGACTAGCGTGGTATGGGCATGTTATGAGAAGGGACGAAAGTCATGTTACGAAAAGAGTGATGGGTATGCATGTGGATGGATATGTGAGTAGAGGCAGACCGAAGAAAAGATGGATCGACTGTGTGAAAGAGGATATGAATAAGAAAGGTGTGGATGTGAGGCTGACGTCTGACAGAGAAGAATGGAAGAAGAAAACATGTTGTGCCGACCCCACGTAACGTGGGATAATGGGCAGGAGGATGATGATGATGGTAGCATATAATACACAAGTATAGTCCACTATTAATAAGTTAGTAAAATTATATAGTAAGGAAAAGTTATTAGGTATAGGTACAAAATTAGGGAATGCAATCTCGTTCGCGCGAGATTTCGTTCTCGCGAGATCTCGACCTTTTTAAGCGAGATTGATCTCGGTCGAAAAATGGGCGAGATCTCGTGAGTTTAACGAGATTGCACTCGAGCATAAAAACGATTTATTCTAAGTGCGGCAGCGTGAATTTATGCGAGTCCGAGAGATTAAAGGCGAAGTTTTACACTTTTACAGTTTTTGAAAGGGTCTTCTCAGTGGCTGGTTATCTGGCCATTTTGTGCTTAAGAAGCTACTTTCAACATTATTCGTAATTATGACGCGTGATATGAATCGAATAAGCCTTTAAATTGATTGATATATTTTGTTAATTTATTCCTTAATTTCTAATAGATCTCTGGGTATACATAGTTTTCTTTAATTGATAAAAATCTCAGATTAATAGTCAATTCATCTTAGTTAATGAGTTAAATTTTAGTTTTTGTATTTTTGATATAAAAATACTGTGTCTTATAATTAAACTTTTCTTTAATATTAGCAGAAACGACTGGTTGTTTATTTTATTTCGTATTTGATATGATACATCAAAGTTTAGTTTCTTAAAAGAATAGTACCTAGATGACTTAGGTTTGGATGGATTTATCGCCTCTGAAAGTCCCTGCATACTTAATGCCATGAAAATTGTTGGAGCCGTTTCCGAGATAATAATACAATAATTGCTCTTTTAAAGGTATTAGATAAAAAATAATATTGCGTCAAACAATGTTAAATACATATCACTTTATTGAAAATACCTTAAAAATAAGTTATTTCATAATACCTATATTTTTTCCTAATTTATTCAAATATTGTGATTTGAATAAATATTACAGTAAAACAATAGATACACAAAAGTGCCAATCTTGCGGGTATTGATATTCATAAACTCACGATATCTCGCTCGAGTCCCAATCTCGCGAGATTGCATTCCCTATACAAGATATTATTTTGATTTAATAAAACCGGGTTATTATTATAACGATTAAATATTTAATCTTCGTGTATAAAGTTCCGATTGTCTTTCCTTTACGAACCATCGCTGCCTCCAAATAAAGATAACAAGATCCTTATTCCAATTCACCCTTATACTAGCAGTCGACGAAGATGATTTAATATACATGGAGACTGAATATTTGAAGGTAAACAGATGGCATATTTTTAAAGATCAAGCAAATCATCATATTAGAAGACAACCAGATTGCATTCAACATCTTATCATCCATCAGGAGATCGACGTAACCTGCCAATTTACTACTGCAAACCTATCTACGGAACCCATGAAGACTTGATGACAGAAATTACGTGTTTACATTCCCAAATAGCACGAGAGTTCGATTATCTTTATATAAAATAAAATAACTGGCAGTTATATGATCACCATCCCGAAAAGTAGCTGGCTACAAACTTCGGAATCAATAATAAATAACATCCAAGATAGAGTAAAAGGCCATGTAGTAAACATGACCTTCCATCTATTGAAGCACAAATGTATAACATCACCGCAAAATCTTTAAACTTGAACTTAGTAGATCTTAACAATTTACACTCCAGTAGCATGAAGACAATTATGCAGCATTCCGTGAATCTAACTGGTACACAAATTGATAGTGTCTATCATACAACTATAATTATCTAAGGTGCAGAAGGCAACGGGAAACCACTGCAACTATAATTCCCTAGTAATTTAGTATGAACAAGTCCAATAAGAATATGGCCCCGAGTGCCCGGCGTCCCTTAAATGGGACAGGGGTGCGAAGAATCTCCGGGCAGTCATTTAGAATAGGAACCTGGAATGTACGCAGTCTTAAAAGTCCGGAAAAAATTTAAAGTTGCGGGAAAGAGAAAGGTCGCAGGAAGGAAGAAGTCGTGGTTGCGGAACATCCGAGAGTGGACCGGGATAGCGAGCGCTGCTGAGCTGTTCCGCCGAGCTAAAGACAAGAAGGACCTGAACATGCTAATCGCTAACCTTCACTAGTTGGAGAGGCACCTTTAGAAGAAGAATCATACAACTATACCTTTACAACTAATTATGAGCAAATCCATTATGGTGATGATCACTATATTCATACATATACTCAATAAAAAACGCCATGAAGAAACACAAGATAAAAAATCCGCGGAATCCATGTCGCGGAAACTTAGGTATCACGAGGAGCCGACTCAACTCCATGCGGGAACGTTGGAACGTGACCTCACATGTATTGAACTCTGGAACCGCTTACTTTAGTTTCGCCGATATCGCGCAATAGTCAATTCATTTAATTATAAAAATTATAATTACGGCTGATGATGACGATATTACCCCTGGTCGGTCGGTGTTGCGGTAACTTCGTTGTTGTTTCTGTGATATAAGGGCTTTAATTACTTAGTTTGGGATGTGAGTATTATATGTGATGTAGTTTAAAATTTATATTTCGACATATTACCCAAGTGAAGCTGAAGCTGGGAAAGAAAATTGATGAAAAAAAAATAATGATCTCATTAAATGGTTAAAATATAATTAATCAGTTATTAAGTTATAGAATGTGTCATGGCTTAAGCTTACATTTTAATCCATTAAATATCGATAAGGAAAATCGTACAATTTTATTAAGAACTAGCTTTCGCCAGCGGCTTCGCCCGCGTGGTCCCTAGAGAAATGTTAAGTGGGATATAAAGTATCCTATTATCTAAGTCAGCTAATACCCTATATTTATACCAAATTTCATCGAAATCCGTTTATTAGTTTCAGCGTGATTGACCGACAAACATCCAAACAAAGAAACTTTCACATTTATAATATTAGTTCATATTTTATTAGACTTTTTTGTGTATGTACTTATTTCAAACTAGCTAAAGCTGACCGCATTACACTGTGGCTAAAGAAATGAAGAAAAATGGATACTTTTTCTTCCCGAAAGTGGAATCCCTAATCAAGCCATTTAAGATGAATAACCGAAAAATGTTTTCAATCCCTCATGGTTTCATTCTCAAATATAAAACCATTAGAAATTAAATTCGAAAGTTACCATGATTAAGTAAAATAAAGAAAACAATTCTACTTTCAACCTATTTGGGACTATGTTTTTGTAACGATTTAATTAATAATTTTATAATCAAATATAAACTATGTATAGTTAAAAATATGGTAACATCTTCATGCTATTTCATGCATCTAGTACATCAACTTTTCTCTCTTCTCTCTCTCTCTTTAATTGTCTGGAAAATGTCTATAAATTACGCTACATTAACAATTTCTAGGTTAACCAGCATTAAATCACTGAACATTTCGACGGTCCCTACGTACATAGAGACATGTCAAAAGTGGCATTTTTTTTTATTGCATTTATGACTTTAGATTGTCCATACACACATACCTATATAAGATTTTTTTTTAAATATTATGTATTTTACTTAAAATACAAGTCGTATAAGAGAATAAGCATCATAATTACAACGAATAAGTGTCGTAGATGCGGATATCTATAGTTATCCTTTTGTAAGGTGTTTAAAAATGCGCGCCACTCGGTGCGAGTGCGGTCTTGTCTGACATAACTTCATTCACGGGAACTCCCCAATAAGTCGTGTCAATTCTTGTTCGCGCAGTGAAATAATTACCGTTTTGATACAATATCAGATTTAGTGGTGTGTTTTTTAGTTATAAATATTCATAATACATCTACAATAGTACTGTGAAACATGAATAATAGTAGATCAAAGTTATTGGTGGATATTGCAAACTCCGGCAACAATGTTTTAACCGTTTCTGAAGCACAAGATTTAATTAATTATATCGATGAAGCAAATGAAGGTAAGTAGTAATTCAAATAAAATTACATTAGACGTTCAATAATATTTAAAAGTGATTGAAATATGTTATTATTTTTCTAACCTAGTGCGGTAGGATATCAATGTAAAAGCGGTCATCTCAGATTTATCTGCTTATACTATGTTAATCATCTGAAAACCATTATTTTACGAATTATTATGATAAGTTGCATGCTTATTTAAAATATGATTTGCTTACTATTTTTTACAAAGAAAACAACGTTTTTATTATTATCGCGGTATATGAACTCATGTCCTACATGTTTGTTTATACGTGTAACTATTAATTTATTCGTGGATTTGTTTTCATTTACGTTTCGGCGTGTTGTGTGTTTCATTATAGTTTAATAAATATATTTCTCTTTCTTTTGTTTTTTAGAGACACCATTATGTTCCGGAAAAGACATTTCATTGGATCTTGAGGATCGGCCTTTAGACGTTTGTAACGACAAAAGACACATTACCGAAGTACCTACCTCTCATATCTTTACTACAAATATACTGGTATTTGTAGTAAAGATATGAGAGGCTTTCATCAAAATCATCCAACTATAATAACTGCGGCAATGAAAGAAAATGTAATTCAACATGTAAAATCTTTTGCACCCATAGAAAGTCATTATACGCGCAAAGACTCAAATAAACAGTACTTAGACTGTGAATTGACCTTCAAGAAGATGTACGAACTGTATATTATATGGTGTAAAGATCTGAATATAACTGAAAATATAGCTACTTCTGTAAGACAGTACAAAGATATTATTAATAAGGAATTAAATATAGCTTTTTATATACCTAAAAAAGACCAATGTGACCTATGCCACGCAATGAAAAATAACACCACGCCTACCAATGATGATAAACTGAAGCATAAGGCACACATGGAAAATAAAAATCTCGCCAGGACTTTTAAAAACGCCGATAAAATTGAAGCTCAATCGAATCCTTCTGATATTTGCACAGCGATGTTTGATTTCCAAAAAATAAATAACACTCCACACGCTGAAATTAGTGTACTGTATTACAAGAGGAAATTATCAGTATATAATTTTACAGTATTTGATGCTGCGTTAAAGGAAGCTACATGTTACATGTGGGATGAGACAATTGCTAGACGTGGCGCCAATGAAGTGGCTAGTTGTTTGTTTTCTTTTGTCAACGACAAGGTTAAGGATGGCGTGAAAGATTTTAGATTCTGGTCAGACAACTGTGCTGGTCAGAATCGCAATCGCATTGTTTTTTTTATGTACTTGTATGTAAGCAATACATTTAAGGTAGATGTGTGCCATAGATTCTTGGAAAAAGGCCATACTCAGAACGAGGCAGATAGCGTTCACGCATTAATTGAGCGAACAGCCAAAAACAAAATTATTTACACGCCAGATGAATGGTACACACTGGTTCGCTGGGCAAAACAGAATAGCCCACCTTATAGAGTCATAGAAGTGAATCAAGACTTAGTGTTGGATTTCAAAGCTTGGCTACATACTAAAAACTGGATCAAAGATACAAATTCAGACAAAATTTCTTGGAATAAGATAAGAGAAGTAAAGGTACAAGGGAATAATCCAGACGTTATTGAATTTAAGTACAACTTTTTTGAAGAAAATTACAGAATACTGAACTGTGGTAATAATTTGAAATTGACAAGAGGAAGGAAAAAGAAAGAACAAGAATTAATATTTGAGAAGTTATACAAAAATCCTATCCCTATCACTGATGTGAAATATAAAGACCTGATTAGTTTATGCGATACACTGATTATTCCAAATAAATATCATGACTTCTATAGAAACCTTAAGCATAGCACTGAAGCACAAGATACTGATAATGAAGGTTGTTAAGTTTAACCTTTTTTTTCTATAAATGTTATTTTCTTACCTGTTATGAAAACTAGTTAGTAATGTTGTTAGTAATAAGATGAATCAGTCTGAATAAAACTGTGATGATTATTAAATATTACAAATTATATTTCTAGGCAACTGTGATTTTTGAATGTTTGGTTCTTACTCTAATGAGATTATAAATACCAATTGTTTAGATTTAAGTAATGATCAAATTATTATAAACCTTCTTTAATTAATAAAACAGAATCCTGATAAATTTTATTTAAAAATATGTCTTTGTTTACATTACCAGAAATATATTCCTACCTATCCTAATGAAACCGCATATAAAGCGATATGTCTACGTAGATGTATATTAATCTCTATGGGTGGCGATCTAAAGAAGTTTAATGTATTTATTTGAAAACAATAACATAATTAAACGTTTTCATAAAACATTTAATATAAATTCTATTCTAGATACTGTTTTCTTCTTTCCTGCGTATAAAAAGCTATCTTATAGTTGTCTGACATGCTTTTGTTTTAATATCACTGTATAAACAGTCATCTATCATTTTTTCCAGGAAAACATAAAATAAATAAATATGTGTTTATACTATTATAAAGTTCCTAAATCTATTTAGACATTATAGAAATAAAATATTTATAATTGCACATAGATTTTTTTCCAAAGCGGTTTGAATACAAATTACGCTCTCCTGTAAACCTCGATTTTTGACATGTCTTTTTGTACGTAGGAGCCGTCGATTTATAGCTCGCTTAATGATACAGATGCTAAAAAAGAAATATCAATTAAAAATTAAAGTATTGAATAATATTGCTTTGATTAAATGAAAAACTACTTCCCTGATGAGAAAGTGGTCCAAATGCAGATATTGTATATCAAAGAAGGTTTAACATAACATTTTTTCTGATTTAGAGAGAAACTATAATAAAAATTGAATAATATTGATTATATTAAAGTCTAGTAGCTCGTAACAAAAAAATGCAAGATACTTAGTATGCTGAAGTACTAAGGATATATTTGGCGCAGCTAAGTGGTATAATCAGCCCCCCAATTAGGTGGCTAGCCCTTTAATTGAAAGGCACCATTCAATTAATGGACTGACTTTGGAATGCAATGTATTTATGTATGTGACTGCGATTGTTCTTTGCGATCGTCTTAAATTCGAGGATATTTTGTAACAGATAACAAAACTTAATGAACGTTATTTGTCTAACGGTCCAAATGTCATATTGATTCAACTAGAAAACTAGACATGCAATTGAATGGCTGGCCACCCAATTGAACGGCTATTTTATCCAAAAGGTTGCGATATATATATATAACTTAGTACACAGTGCAAAAGTCAGGTGCTAGAACAGCTGGTGGCGGTGTGCATTGAAATAGGTAGGTAAAAATGGAACATGCATTAAAAGTATTTGTTAAACGTTGAAAATAAGCGAAAATATCGTTCTTTATATGAAAAAGAATAAACTTCTCCGATTGCACATTGGTGTAACGCCACAACTCAACCCTCAGCGTGACTTGAAAGTTATCGTGAAAACCAAGTCAAAAAAAAGTATTTATAAACAAACGTTAATTGATCAATGTGTGAACATTATTCAATCAAAATGTGAATATTATTCATAATATGTAGTTTTATATTAAGACACGGAATACTTTAGCTAAAAAAAAAGATTGAAACAAAAATAGTATTTGTTTTGTGGAGTAAATATATTCAGCAATCGTTTGATTCGCCCCACACTGGGTACTTCCACATACTGCAGTCGAAACTGTTACACACTCTTGCACTTTTTGACACGAGTATTAAAATATGATTCTATTCAATCTAACTGTTGTAAATTAAAGGTCACATCTTATACATAATTTTATTTAATTTGTAACATTTGGGTCAAATCTTGCAAGGTACATTTACCCACTTCTCAGTTTTGGATTGATCTGATTGCAATACTCCTTTTATTTCCGATGACAATGTAAATAAATCGTTAAAAAGTAAAATAACTACTACTAGCGTATTTGGTACTTACAAATCTTACCACAATATTTGAAAAGTACGCCTGGTTAAGACCCTTACTCATGAATATACATTAAGCCAACTTCATTAGTCTATAAAGACAAATGGACAACTGTTCCATTAGTTTTTATTATTGCAAAAAATGCTTTAAGTAAACCTTATCTTTAAAAATATGTTTAATAAAGCTTATAGTCTTCTATAGCGGCCTTATCACACTATTGCGAGCGTGTGTTTCCTTTATGTGTGTCAGCTATATGGTGGACCGGATATAAGGTATGTTTCGGTCAGGTATTCGGGCCGGATCGATGGTGCTCGCGAGTCGTAGTTTGCAGACCCCCATTCAATACTACAGTATACATACTATTATAGATTGTTTATATAACTTAGGTATATTGTATGGGCATCGTGATAAATAAAAAATCAGATTAATCCCATTTCAAAAACAAAAACACTTCGAAACTATTCTCACGGTTTCAAATCTAATGCGTAAACGGTTTCATAGGGGAATTTTGATTTAGTTCTTTTCATTTGATAAATTCAAATGTAAGAATTATATTTAAAACCAATGATATTACAATAAAAACATTGTTTAAAACGCATCATTATCAATAACTCGCTTAGCTTTATGAGAACAGATCGCTTTCGTAGTTAAAGGAGGTTTGATTATAAAGGTTTAGAGTCGGGTGAGGGGTTCCGTTAGTAGGGAAATGTCAATGCAAAGGGCACTTTATAATAAGGTCGCCGGGGTCGGCATTGAGACTTTCTCTAAGACGACGATGCCCTTATCGATAATAAAGATATTGATTGTTGAAATACATTAACGAGCTAAGCAGTTAATCAAAATTGATTACGAGGTATTAGACTATATATTCAATAATATAAATAATATAAAGAGTAAGGTTAAACCATAAACTGTCTTTTTCAATATACTTACCTAAAAATGAATAAATGATGTTTGTATAAAAATCTTTAGGTATTAGCGACCATTCGTGAAAATAGAAACGGAGTTAATCTCGCTAATATCAATTCATACAGTCAAAAGCACTTATTATCTAAAGAAAAATAAGCAAACTTAGTTTAAAAAAAAGATATTAATAATATAGGGTAATGTTGATTTTTACCGAAAAAATATTTAATAAAATGTTTATTGTACACTACAACTTCTTATTATTTAGTACAATCGTCATTATAATGTACAATCAGTATATACTGTCTAGTAGACAGATAGACAATGTCTTCGTCATTAAGTCCAGTCTTTTTGCTGTATTTTTCAATAAGTAATGAAAAAAAATTGTCCGTAAAATGACAACAAATATATTTTGAAACATATAATTAAAAATATATACTTCGTGAGTGTATGAGTTAATTATATTAACAATTTTTACTATAAGAGCAACACTGAATTCACGAAAAAATTATCAGCTGTTTCATACTGTTGGCGATTGTAGGTATTGCAATGATATATGAAACAGCTGATATTTTTTTTGTGAATTCAGTGTTGCTCCCATAGTAAAAGTCGTACAGTATATTTAACTTATCCACCCCACGAAGTCCTGGCATATACTTATATGACACCTTATGTATAAACTAATAAACATAATTTAACAATCGTAACGCATATTAAATTCGGTACCCAAATAAGTCATACTTAATCCGCTTACCTCAAATGAGACCGTTCCGACGTTACTCAATAATTATTTGAATTAAAACCTCTCCAATACGAAAACGACCTTTATAAGCTTAGTCTCGATGAAAACTTCTTGTAATGTCTTAAATATTATGTAAATCGTCTTAACCTAAGACTACGGAAGTGGCCGCCAAGTGACATTTGAAACAAAACGCAAGGGCGCTATCTACATAATTTTTCTCTAAATTCTTCGTCGTTTTTTGAACATCGATTAGGTCAGAATTTTTCTAAATATTAAAAAAAAAAAACAAAAAAAGAAGCCTATAATAAGTTTCAATTACATAGCTCTCACACTTTACTGTTTATTGTAAGTAAAATAAAAATGAGAGTAGGCTATGAAGAAAACACCTCTAATTACAAGAAATATTTTATTTAATGAATAATTATTTATTTAATGAACAAAATAACAGAACTAATAGTAATAAGCAACTTACAAAAAGAAGTCTAATCCCCCCAAAAACATTTTCATGTAAAATGTTGCCAAGACGCACGACTTGCATCTTACCATAGATATTATTAGTGCGATGTCAGAGTCAAAATTATCTTTATTCAAATAGACTTCTTAAAAGTACTTTTGAATCGTAGAACATTTTTTTTTTAATCTTAAATCCAAGCATTATTTTCTGTTATATAATCGGATAGCTTATAATAAACTTTTTTAATAGTAGATTTAAATTTTATGACATCAAATTGTTGTATTTTGCTTGGGACCTTATTGTAGAAGCGCACACAAAGACCCCTGAATGAGTTATTAACTTTTTGAAGTCTAATGACAGGCACCGTTAATTTATTTTTATTTCTTGTATTAAAATTGTGTACATCGCTTTTTATAGAATACAAACTAACATTTTTACGAACGTATATTAAGTTCTCGTAAACCCATGTATGGGGAAGAAACAGTCATTATAACTATTTCCTAAAATTAGTCCTTAGGGACTGATTTTAGGATTACAACCTCTAGGATATTTTAGGGAACCACAAAAGTAGCTCCCGTTATCATTATCAAAATTAATTAATTTATGTTACACGTCAGATTTCAAGTCATCGACTTATATAGTTACAACTCTATCGGTCCAACAATTCTGGAACGAATCAAAGAAATCAGCCATAACAGCCGCACATAGAAACAAAAACGCTCAAGCCTGTAATACTATAATCAGCCTCTCGATCCTAAAATGCAAAAAAATATTCTCATATATTTAGGTTTAAAACCAAAATTCACAAACACTCGTGCTAATTGATAATAAAAACATCAACTAAGCACACAATGTCGACGAAAAGGGTTTTTTTAT